CCCCAAAACCCCAAAACCCCTTTTAAAATCAAGGAGATATAAAAATTTTGAGTAATGAGTTATTGAATATTATTGATTAAGAGGTGGTTTAGATTGTTAATCAACTTGACATCATCTATCTCTGTTTCATAGCTTGAGCCAATTGCTAGGCTGGATTCATTTGTTACATCTATGGCTGTTGCTATTGCTAACTAACCGATTGTCTTGGTGGCTGTTGCTACATCTACTATTGAGCACTTGCTCCACTAGTTTGATTTTGCTATTATGCTGCAAACACCTCCTTCTTCTTCCTAAAGTTTTCGAAAGTGAGGTTTATCACATTTCTGTTTATTTTCTCACCAGAGACTTTGTTGTTCTCAGTCAAATAGCCATCAGCCATCTTAAACATTTTGTTAACAAAAGAATCAATCTTTTTAGAAATCGCACAGTTTTAAACTAAGGTGTTTGCTGCAAGAATACTATAAAAATTAATTAGCCGAAAAATATAAATTTACCAGATTTAGAATAACTCAGGATAGTATGATTGTTTCACATCATTAAGCTTTTCAATACTCTCTAGAATTTGATCAAAGCAATAGTCCATGAGTTAGGTAGCTTCTCTTTTAAACTCCTCATTACCAATCACACTATAGGATACTATAACTTCAATTTCTATCTAAAATTCTGTCATTTGAATCAACATTAGGAATATGATATGGTAAGGTATCTTGAAGCTAAGTTGTTAGATAATTTATGATTCCAACATGGATTTTTGTCTTTAAAATATGCTGAGTTGAGCCCCATTCATGATTCTTTAAGAGACTCAATATTCCCTCAACCAATTAGAAAAAGGAAGTCTCAGGATTACTAGGTACTATTACGAGGAATCCAAGAATATTTAATATAGTGTCAGCGATTTGATTTACCTTCTTTTAGTCGAAATTTTCATCTATAGTTGATAAGACTCCCTTTAAGAGAGAGTCAGTTTCACCTAGAAGACCATTCATTAAACCCACTTAAGCTGTAAGCATGAAATACTAAACCTACTTATCCATGCTTTCTAAAGTAGGAATTGTAATATGGGAATAAGCAATGCAGGCTTTAACAAATGATATAGTTTTTTGAGAATGTTTTCCTTTAACATAGAAGTGGGCTTTTGCTGCAAGACTTACGACCTATGTGATAAGAGTCTCAGTTACTTCATCTAAATTGATAAACAAGCCTCTTGCTGTTGTGTACACAATTAAAGTCTTGTCAAAATCCTTGCCAAAGTCTATCTTTCTGATAATCTTGCACAGTGTCTTAGAAATTCTCTTAATTTCTTCGTCAGAACTCATAGAATCGATTTTATCATGAAGAGTTTTTGCTATCTAAAAGATTGAATGAATAAGGAACCCATCTTAGAGTTTAGGATGATGATCGACAAAGAATTTAAGCATCATTTCACAAAGCTTGTTTTTAACACTGATAGGGAAATAGTTGAGCAGACCCAAAAGATTCTCAAAACCAATCAATTCAGAAAAGTCTTAAGCAGTCATCATCACTTTTACAAGTAAGAATTCAAGCTTCTTGAAAAGATCATCATCAGAAGTGGTTGAGAGAGCGAAGTCTTAGAACTTTCTAAAGATTTCTTTGATGAATAAGTTGACTGAATTCTAGTTCAGATTCTTAATTGCAAATTCTACTAATACAATTGCACAGTCCATATATAAATCTGGCTTAGTAGCTTTATTCATACAATCCCAACCAAAGTTAATGAAATCTAGCTTTGATTAATTTTTCTTAGGTGGGCTTCTTAGTAGGGTCAGACCCATTTCCTTGATCAAACTTAGTCTATCATCCTCCGATATGAAATGATCTTTAATAGCTCCAATCACAGTTGTTGTAGCGGAAGCAATTAACTCACTTGGGAAGTATCTAATGATAGATTTGAGATAAATTGCTTTCTTTGGATTGTTCTCGTACATATCATAAACTTTAATGAAGGTTTGTTTATTGGCATTATGACCAACACATTGGAAGAGCCAGTCAATAGTTGGCTCGAACAAACTGAAATACTGCTCTTGAGAAAGTTTTGAGTGCCCGTTCTTGATGGCATAGTTGTAATGCTTGTACGCAAACTCTACCATATTCATCAAGTATTCTTTTTAGTTTGGATCTATAGAGTGGCCTACTCTTGCTAGATATGCACAAGTATAAGTGGCACAAAGTGGCTCAGCAATACCTCTAATCATCTTGGAAAGTCTGATAAGATCTCCTTACTAAACTCTCCTTTGAATGAATCTGTGGCAGGAGACGAGAGCCAGTTCAAGATAAATTCTAGGTAATACTTCTCTAATGCAAGCCGATTTCAGAAACCAGTTCATGCAGATCTCTCTTACCTTATCTGGAATCTTAGTATAATCAATTTGATCCTCATTGGCATCAGTAATTACGATTTTTCCACCGGAGTGTTCTTTAGTCAATTTTTTCATTCTACCAAATACAAGTGAACCAAAATTGTCAAGAATATCTGTAAGCAAAATAAACTTTTGGGGATAAAAGAGTGGAGTTTCAACATCATTCAAAAGCTTTGCGCATTAAATGGCTATTCTCATGCAAGCAACTTTATCCTCCTTCTCCCAAAATCTCTTCATCTCTCTGTTAAGCTTCTCCAACTGCTAAGTGAAATCTCTTGCACTAATAAGAGTTCCTTGATTAGATCTTGATGTAGTTGTGCTTCTCTTTTCAAGTTGATCCATTCTAGATTTACCTTTTCCCAATCTGATGGGTCTATCAATGTCTCTATCTCTGTTGTCACCAATCATAACTTCTTAGTTCTCTGTTTGAGGTCTGAACACAGCCAAGATCTTTACTTTCTTTGCTTCCCAAGACTCAAATTCTCCTGTAGGTCTTGAGTCTAAAGTCATATACTCAGCATATGGATCGTTCTATTTTTGAAATTAGCCAAATAAATGCTACCTTATCTTCCTTCTTGGTCTTCTTAGGAGAATCTTCGTCATCTCCATCAACATCTTCCTCTTCTACATTCTTGTTTTAATCCAAATAAAGCACATTCTTGTTTTGCTATCCAAATGCTCCTGCAGGTGCTGAGCCAGCATCTTCTCCTCCGCCAAGTAAGGGATGCTCTCTAACCTTCTTTCCTTAAAGCTAGAACTTAACTTGTTCAAGTTCGTAATTTCTCTTTGAAACTTCTCTATAGCAATAAGATGAGATAATGTAATAGAAGTATTAAGATGAATACAATCTCAATGACATAGTTAGATTTTATATAAATCTCTTGATATAATAAGGATCTTTATTATTTATTATAATCGATTCTATTAATCGGATATCTTAACTCCTGGGGTTTTGGGGTTTTGGGG